GCTCTTGACTTGATCTGGCCTTATTTAAAGAAAAATTAATACATGCCATGAAATTCTTTTTTTTTGTACATGGATAGAATATATAAAAATACACACATACCCATACATATATAAAGATATACATACATACATGCCTACATTCATACATATTGTAGATATATACACACAGACATATATACACACTCAGTGACCTGTCAGAACCCCCAGGATCAGAACACCTGTTTGTGAGCGGTTATGAACATGGGTGTATATACAAGATTTCTCCAATGAAATATTTAATAGTGACTGTGGAGGACCAAAGACCAAACCCCCAAGACACAAGGCAGACATAGTGAAGACCAGAGCCCAAGGGCTCGAGAGGGATCCTGAGCGCAGAGCCCCAAGGGGCACCCGCACGGGAAGATCTGCCCATAAAGTCTAATGTTAAAATTAATCGTGGATCCCTTTAAAAGAGAACAGTAGTTACATAAACATGTTCTTGTCTTTGTTCATTGACTGATGATTTATGTCACTGAAAGAATACAAGAGAAATGTAAATAGCTACTGCCAAAAATATTTATATCTAAAGTAAGATTCTTTCAGCTGTTCCCTTTATTCAGGGGTTACCACAGTGATAAAACTCACATAAAATATGTTTTTGTTTTACACCTGACACCCTTCCTGATACAGACTGGGATTGAATCCGCAACCTCAGGATCATAGGACTGCAGGACTGACCATATAACTAAGGCAGCCCAAAATTAATGATTTATATAGTACTGCACAATGTACCAGAATTTTGGCTTTTGCTCTGTGACTTCTTGATTAACAAGACAAGGTGAAACACATTTAAAAAATGTGTATTGTATTGTACTGGTACCCCAGGTGCTGACAGAGTGTTGTTGAGAATGTGTCATGATAGGGGGATCAACTTTTGTAGGCAGGGCACTTGGTTCTGTTCAAAAGATGAGGGTGCCCTCCCTGGATAAATGYAGATGAAATACTAGGGTCTTGGCTGAGCTTCATATACTGTATGAACAAAACACAATATCAGTTTTTACAATTACATTTACCCAAATAAAAAGATACTCACCTAACAATTTCCCCAAGTTGGTAATCTCCAGAGTGCATGCCATTATTTAAAGAGATTGGATCAAGTGGTATAATGATGTTACCAGGGGTCTAAAATAAACATTCAAAAACTTTTAACAATTAGCTTTGTTTTTCTCTAAGCAACTTTCATTAACAACAAGAACAAACTGTTTACTGTAGATAATGTACAACAGAAAAAGCATTGTAGCTATTTGTCTTCATCTTTGGTATATAGCTGGACTAAAAGGAAAAAAAATATTTGTACAAGAAGTTATAAGTTTTGTGTCTGTTACACCTTTTCTGCTACAGTCACACAATGTATTAGGAAGACTTTGATTATCTTATTGAGACATGCTGAATGTTCATTATTATTAATTCTCATCCCAAATAGAATAAAACAAAATACCACAATCTCGATGGCAATAGACGTGTCGGTTTGGGTTTGTGCATTTTTTTCCACAGGCTCCATTTGTGGCGTCAAAGCAAACATCCTGTAATAAACTGTTGGGATAAAAAA